CGTAAACAAACTATTTTCCAAGGTAAATGCTCGGTAGACTGCCTATACAAAAGATCGAAATTACGAGCCTTTGGTATCAACAGTTGAAACCGCGGCACACAGACAAAACGATGATGAGAATCAAAGCTACGATGATACCCAACACGATCAATTTAATCTTCATATTCTGAAGCCACATTTTTCTCCTCATCTGCGTCCCTTGCGTCCTAAAATCCTGTGCCTGAAACCCAACCAAAACAGAAAATGAAAATACGAATTTCAGGGCAACAAATATGAGGGCATATCCCATACCAGATTTCTTCGAAACAAAAATTTCTGATGGATTTTGAGTAATTGTCAGACTAACCTGTGATCGGAGATTCTCACTTTTATCAACTAAAATCTCAATCTTGTCTCCACGCTCAAGAACCTGAAAAGACACGAATACAGTTACCGACAAGAATAACACTAATTAATAATGGAAGGATTTTGAAGACTTTCTGTACCTTCTCAATATTTTCCATCATCACTCCCTTAACTTCAGAAACTTGAGCCTTGACTTTAGCAAGATTACTAATTTCTTCAGGATGATCAATGCAGTACTGCATTTGATCTTTCAATTTCGGCCTATAATAGCAACTGTTGTTAGGCAAAGGCGCCGAAACGGGGAGCAATATCTAAGAAGGTGAAAAGGCAGTTACCCAAATTCCTTGTTCAGACTATTGGCACTGGCAGTTGCAGCTTTCCCCACGCCATATCTCTTGTTAAAATCATCCTTAACACGCTCTAAAAAGGCAATGGGAATTTGCCGACCAACAGATTCAACAGCTACAACGCAATAGGCTACAAAAGCCAACATAAGCAGATCAGTCAATGCTCGAGAAATACATAAAAAAAGTGGGCATTTAAAAGTTCATAATTTGATCAATGCATTTCAGAACTAGAAAGCATTTGACTAGAGGTCATCAAAACTTGAAATATCTTCTAGAACTTTATCATCTAAAACAGCTCCACTCCACATTCGAAGAAATCATGTACAGTGGGAAAAGGTAGAATTTGTCATCTGAATTCGCAAAAAGGGTATCTCACAAAGGAGTATGAAAACACAATGCAGATGAGATGGAGTACTTCATTCTGGCTCAAGTAGTCAGTACAGTTCACTCCAAGGCAAGAAGATGGCGGATGTCTGAAGAATCAAATAACCAATTTTGCCCAAAACAACAATATCAGCAACAAACTAAACTTTATTCTCATTAAAATTGGAGTCACAACATAAATCCATAAATCCTGTTTTACCATCCTGTTTGGTTGATTGGTAATCTCTGGAAGATCCTGAAAAATTAGATCTTTAGCAACCATAAGATACTAGAATAGTTTTGGTCTGCCCATCTCTTTTCCAACTCGTTTTACCAAAATTGTATCACTCTTATAAACGGGAGCCTCTAGGTCTGGATAGGAATACCCTAACTACCTAAGTGTCCATCTCACAATTTATTGAAAATCGTCGCCTGCATCCATTGGCATGTTATCTTATTTCTTATCTGTTCTAGCATGAACAACCATATTAGCATTCTCATATGCTAAGGGCTTGTTTGGTAAGGATTAAAATCCAATTAAAATTGAAAATATAACCATTATTGGGTCTCACTCGTCTAATAAAAGTCAACTCCAACAGCTATATTTTCAATTTTAATCTGATTTTAATCCCTCCCAAACAAGCTCTAAGTTCATCTTATGGAGATTTTGACTCTTAAAATCCCAAGATAGAACTCTTGTAGCAGCACATCTCCATTTCACCAAAGTCAATTTAATTCGCCAATCATGCACAGAAATTGAATTTAATTAAGTTAAGAAGATTTCGTCAAAACATCCCATACCACGTTAGCCATTATCCCCAAATTAACTTCTTTAAAATTCTTCCTCTATTTTCACCTAGACTAGGATTACAAAGTCACCCAGGTATTAAAAATTAAGAATCCCATTACCAAGTGATCCACCAAAGTATTGTGGGAAGGGTTATGAAGAAGACAAAATTGAACTACTCTTGTTAAGGCAATTCAACCTAAAGCTCAGTACTATGCTTTATATTACTTAACTTTACGTT